GTTCCTATTTTAGATTCATAAATTTTAGCTTTAGGAATATTTATTCATTGAATTGGTTTGAGATTGTTGCTTTTCTTTTGTTAGTTAGAATTGTCTAAATTTGTATTGCATTTGTTTCTTATATTGTTGGTTAGTTGATTGATTAATTTATCCATTGTTTAAATTATTTAAGATTTCTTATATTTAAGGAAAAATTTTGCTGAAATTTTTATAAAATAAAAAGGTATTCCCTTTAATTTGTAATTAAGTGTTAGTCAATTTTAATTTATTGACTAACACTTAGTTATTTTATTTATTTGAATATTTGAATTAAGTAGCTAGAATTGAGCTTGACAACTATATTCATTGACACTGTAGGACAATGGATCGTAATTGGACAAAAGCTAAAAGAATTAGTAAAGAATATAATAATGATGTTGAAAGGCCTCTTGAGTTTGCTTAGAGAAATGCCCTTAAAAAAAGAAATGACTCGTATTGTTGTCCTTGTGTCAAATGCTTAAATAATAGTCAAAGGAGTATTCTTGAGATAAGAGAGCATCTTTTCTGTGATAGGATAAATTTAAGATACACAAATTGGATATGGCATGGCGAAATTAGCAAGACAGAATTTGGAAAGGAGAAGGTTGTGAATGATGATTTTGCTAATAGAATTTCGAATATGCTCTATGATATAAGGTCTAAGTGCTTTGCATAGTTATCTCCCACATGTGAAAGCTTACGTAGTGATGCAAGGATGTCTTTGTACCTAGGGTATAGAGATAGCTACACAAGTTTGACAATTATGTTGAAGTTGATGAACTTTAAGGCAAGAAATGGTTGGACTGACCGATGCTAGTTTAACAAAATTGCTCAAGTTGTTGAGTGATATTCTTCCAAAAGGGAATTCAATTCCAAAAGGAATATATGAGGTAAAAAATTTTGTGTCTAATGGGTTTGGAATATGAAAAGATACATGTGTGCTCTAATGATTGCATATTATTCAAAAATGAGTATGAACGGTTGAATAAGTGTCCTAAATGTCGCATTTCAAGGTACAAAATGAAGAAAAACGGTGGTGATTGTGATGAGATGACCAAAGGTCACCATTTGAAGGTATTGTGGTATCTTCCAATAATACCATAGTTTAAGTGTTTACTTGCCAATGCCACAAAAGCAAAGAACTTCAGATGGCATTCCGATGAGAAAATATGTGATGAAAAACTTCGGCACCCAGCGGATTCTCTCTAATGGAAAGCAATAGATCAAAAATTTTCTCAATTCAGTAGTGAGTTAAGAAACCTTCTGCTTGGGCTCTATATGGATGAAATTAATCCATATAGTAATCTTAGTAGTACATAGAGTGCTTGGCCAGTTCTCCCGGTAATTTACAACTTGCCTCATTGGTTATGTATGAAAAAAAAAAGTATATTATGTTATTTTTGATGATCTCGAGGCGAAAAGAGCCAGGAAATGATATCGATGTGTATTTGGCACCTTTGATTGAAGACTTGAAGAAATTATGGGAGGAAGGTGTTGATGTGTTTGGCGCTTATAAACAAGAGACTTCAACTTATATACCATGATTTTCACTATGACAAATGACTTTTCAGCATATGAAAATTTGTTAGGATATAATGTTAAGGGGCATAAACATGTCCGATATGCGAAGAAGGCACTTACTACATGCAACTCAAATATAGAAGGAAGACAGTCTACCTTGGTCACATAAGGTTTCTCTATCAACACCACACTTACTATAGGTTGAAGGAGGCATTTAATGGCTCACAAGAATATCAAATAACTCTAACACTATTAACTGGAGAAGAAGTTTGTTAACAAATGGAAGGAGTTAATGTGATCTTTGGTAAGTATATTAGTCAACACCACCCTTATCGTAGGGTAAGTATATTATTATATTTGAGATACACACAAATTATACATACAAGATTATAATTAACATGGTTTGTATTTTGGAGTTATCATTGGTCCCTTATTTTTTTGCCTCTTTGATAACAATGTCTACTGGTTCGATTCCCTTCGTGGAGCTCTATAAAACAAAACCAAAGATGTCATTGACACGTGAATTTATGTTTATATATTTATTACATGTAAAGTTTACAAAAACATGCTTTAATATCTTTTTTTTGGTCATTGCTGATAGGGCTTTTCATATTTTCAATGTGGTGGCCAAGTAGAAAAATAAGCCACTACGAATATGTATTCTCCCACAAGTATGTTGTTCTGAGCTAAGTATATATTTATAAATTTTTTAGACAATCAAAGTTAACGTTTATAAAGTTTTTAGATAATCAAGTTAATGTTTATAAATTTTTTAGATAATCAAAGTTAGATATTCAATTTTATTTTTCATTTTGTTTGACTATTGTTAATCCGAGAGTGTTGAATACGGATATTATGTGATATGATATATGAATGACATCATTAAGACAAGAGGTACTAAGAAGTTAGACAAAGCAAATATAAGTTACATTATAATTCTTCAATTCTTTTCATATTTTTGATCTAGTTGACTAATGACTTTGTTATTTTTAAATTACAAGCATTTTGAGATAGTGTGCCATATGATCCCGAAGAAATCAACTCAGTAAGGGATTCTTTGTCAACAACTTTGCTTGGAAACTTTGAAAATCTAAATTAGTTTTGTCATTCACCTTTCAATTCATTGTTTATTATATATATCTGGTTGAAATATTAATTAGTTAACTTGTTGATTATTAGGTGTAGTTGATTAAATATTAAGAATTAGAAACATTAGTTATGTTAGAGTCAGGTTTGAGTTTATGTCTTGAAATCGTTTTGCATTCTTCTATTATATTGGTTGCCATTTATCTGTAATTGGTTTGGCATTGTAGGAAGGTTGCATAGGAAATTGAGTCAAATTTTCAAAAAAGACAAACTAAACACTGTTGTCAAAGGCGTTTTTAACAGCAGTTACAAAAAATAACCGCCATTAAAAGTACACTTTTCACGGCTATTACGTTATAAAACTACTATGAAAAGTTAATTTTTCACGGCGATTACTTTATAAAATTGTCATGTAAAGTTAATTTTTCACGGTGGTTCAAATTTTTTGCTTATAACATCGATGGAATTCATTTCACCTCAAAAATCAACATGAAAAGCCTTTTTTAACTACCGTTAAAGGTCTTTTCTCTAGGAGTGTCAAATGGATGAGCAATAGCCCATGCATTTAATTAGAGGAAATAAGGTGGAACTGAGATTGAAATACCATATTTTGATAAATGTGTAATCATGTGGCAACTACGAATATTATGATTTTTTATAACTATCCTACCTGATAACTCACAAGTACTTACTTGTATGCTTGATAAGTAGAATTGTTGATTACTAAAGCTTTTGTCTCACCCTATGGTTTAACATTTTCAGGTGACAAATTTAGGGTTAGTCCATCAAGGAAGGCATTAGAGGTTTAGCTATTAAGTTAATCTTGTATAGCATCCTTTAGTTATATGATGGGTATTTATATATTGCTATATAAGGATAATTTTTGCAGACTTTGATTTATTTGCTACTGGCTGTATTTAGCTACAAATCTTTGATAAACTGGTGTTGGATTAGCTGTACTATTACAATATATTAAAAAAAAAAGGAACACATTTAAATCTCCAAGAAGCAAATTTTTTTTTTACTTTTCATGAAACCATGGTTTTGGAGCCAAACCATGGTTTCATAAAAATGTAGAGTGTTTATTAGGAACTTTTTGAACCAAATCATGGTTTGAGCTCCAAAAGTACTTTTGAGTAGTTTGCCAAACACCTCTTAAGCCAATTCAATAGGGGAAAAAAAAAAAAAACAAGAACATCTTTTATGTTTTGGTAAAGTACAAAATTCATTATCATATTAAATTTTATTTTCTCTTACTACTCCCCCATGTATGAATATACTCCCCCAATATAAGAAGTTAGTTAATTTTTCTCATATACTAAAAAATAAAAATTTAGTCATTAAATGGATCCTAAATTGATAAAAATTTTCTATTTTACCCTTAAAATTTATAAAATTGCCTTGCATGTTACACTTTTGTTATCTCTTATTTCTATCCTCTCTCCCCTATATTTAATAGGGTCAAAAATTAAAAAAAATTACATTAATTATTCTGACTACGTCTTCTCTTTTAGACTACAATTTTTTCCTAACCAAGTTCTTATATTACGAACAAAGTAGTATGAAACAAGAATTAATGCTTTGATGCACAAATAAGGTAGTTGGCAAAAAAAAAAAAAACATACACGGTAACATATATTTACAAAAAGGATTAAGGAGCAAACTTATCTATAAGGTTTTTACTCAGAAACACTGGATGTCTATACATTTTTTTTATTTTTTTATTTGTGAATTTGCCTCAAAATTTTAAAATTGTAGCATTATTATCCTGTATGACTAAATAATAAGGATACAACAATAATTATATATAAATAAACTGGCCCAGGTTATCCTTAGGGAACCTAGGGGCTTGGTTTGGAACAATTTATTTATATTTTATTTTTTGTCCTTCTAAATATTATTATTTTTAAGATTTTTTATCACAAATATCATTCTTTCTAGGTTGGCTTTGGCTATAATTTTCCTTAATTTTACTCTAAGCCAGTGTGATTGGGGGAAAAAAGAAAAGAGAAAACAAAACATCCTTTGTTTTTTCGGTCAAGTACACTAAAATTTATTATCATATTAAATTTGATCTCCATTTACTACTACGCCATCGCTATTTCCACTATCATACGAATATACTCCCTCCGGTTCTATATATAAGTTTCAAATAACCGAATTATATTTAAAGAATTACAAGTTAAAATTAGTTAAAAATAATAAATAGGTCAAAAATGAAATATCTTTTCAAATTTGTTCTTATTTATTAAGAGAATAAATGAGAGAGGCAATAAATGAAAAAGTGATAAAAGAGAATATATGGGGTAATATTAATGAGAGAGAGTGAGCACTAAATACATTCAATTAAAAGCAAAATAAAAGGAAAAATAATAATAAATGCTCAAACAAACTAAAAAGCAAAGTTTATATTTTGTACCAAACTCCTCTTCAAAAGTAAAGCTCATATAGGATTAGATGGAGTAGTATGAAAAAAGAATTAATGCTCTAGCGAGCATACAAGGTAACAAATAAAATGAATTAAAGACAGATGAAACGTGTGCATGACCATTAACTCAGACCGGAATCAAAAAGACACAAGCACTGCTGGAAACAAGGAGGCAAATTGATCCATCACATGCTTCTTCAATACAAGTCCTACTTCCACCCCACCATCACCATCTTTACTCTCTGCCATCGCCATTGTTATACCTCTATCTGCTGAAGCTATCTCCACCTTCTCCGGCCTTCCGCATCCAAAATCAGTCTCATAAACCCCGAACCGGCTCGACCCGGCTACGGCTATGTACTGAACTTCGTTTCCTTCTGCAGATTGCGAAGAAGGCCGAGAAAGCAATGTCTCTGCTCCATCAAGCGCTCCTTTCTCTTTCTGTATTTTCCTTATCTTTCTTAGTATTTTCTTGGCAATGATGACAACCCCATCCTCATCTGTGAAGTCTTCTGGCTGTGTTTCTATTATCTGAGACATCACACAATTCCCAAAATAGTTTTCAGAGATTGGATGCTCTAACCTTGTTCTGCAATCAGCAAAGAAACAGAATAACAGTTTCTTCCTCTTAGTTTCACTTCTTTCAATGGCTTTTGCGATGCAGAATAGAAAATAAGAAGTTGTAAGCACAAAGGTTGACAAAATTGGAGGCTTTGGAAGTTTTGATGAGTCTTCTCTTTCTTCTTTGGTTTCGTGATTTTCCCATTTCTGCAACACCCTTTCTTTTATCTTGTTTAGATCCCCACGTTTGAGCTCGAATATGGCTCGAGCAGAGTCGTCCACCAATGGCGGGAACATGCCGGAGAGAATCTTCAAGCTTAATGGCTGGTTCTTCTGATTCTGAGTTGGATCTAAACCTGACCACCCATTAATGTATGCAACTCCAATGCCACGTGGATCGACGATAACTTCCCTGTCTAAGAATGGTTCTAGTTCTTGAGGAAGCAAACCAGAAGATTCACTCTCTGCTTCTGTTCGACATAGATAAGCCCAGGCCTTCATGAACATAGTCGATGATTTGCCATCTAAACAGGCATGATGTGAACTCATCCCTACGCAAAACCCTTTGTAGGGAAACAGAGTGATTTGCAGGGAAATAGCCGACGCAAATGAATCAGAAGAATCCAAGTTGGGAACAAAAGCACGAGATTGTGAGGCGTCACGAGGGGATATGTCCAAGACATGGTTGAAATCACAATCAGAAACAGCTATGGCGAGAGAGACGGCATCTCCGGGAGTGTGTAGAACGATGGGTTTGGGTGAGTCGGAGGGCCAAACGATGTTACCGGCGAGAGGAAGAAAATGTTTCAGAGTGAGAGAGAGGGAGCGCTTGAGCTTTGGAACGATGGAATGGAAGAAGGAAGAGGGGTTTAAGTGAGGAACAGAGAAGAAGAAGAGACGCTCAACAGGATGAAGTCTGAGCCAAAGCAAGTCGAAGAAGGTAAGACAGAAGGAGGACTTTGCTGAAGACGGTGGCGGAGCAATTCTGCAGAGCTCTTGCACTCTCAGGGGCGCCATAGGAATGAAGCAGAGGAGGTTGATAACGGAGAGTCACTGAGTTCTATGTATTTAACAAGGAGGTTTAGAATTATTTTTTAAGAAAAATATCCCTTCAGATTTCTATATTTCAATCGTATTTTGTTTTTTCCTTAGTAATGTCTTCATAATTTTTCTTCTGTTTAGAATTATTTTGTTCAAAAAATATCCTTCAGATTTTCGCAAACTAGTTTCATTGTTTATTGCAATGATGAGATCATAATACTCAACAGTATAGTAAAATCTAAATCATTCAAAATTAGTTTTAATAGTTTCAATTTAAAATTTTTAACTACTAATTTTTAAATAAAATTATTTTTAAAAAATAACAATTAAGAGATTATATTTATTTTGGATTATGTACCCATTAAAATGTAAAATAATTAAATATTAAGTCTCAGCTGTTTATATTAAATTTGAATAGTTAAAATTTAATGTGTATTATGATGTTTGTTATTATGATGAACACTGAAATTGATTCATCATATTTCTATATTTCAATCGTATTTTGTTTTTACCTTAGTAACAAATTCATAATTTTTCTTCCGTTTTATTTGTTTGTCTGAAATATTAGTTTCTTTATTGAAAAAAAAAACCGAAGAGAACTGTATGCTGGGCCACAAATGAGATGCTAATTTTGTTGACATACAATGATTTTTTTTTTGGTTATACACCGCCCGGTAATCCAACGCCTATTGGCAACCGACTAATCCGAACTCAAGGGGTAGGAGTGTCGCGGTTTTCCAGCGGTTGTTGTCCCCTCTCCCAATGAGATACAATGATCTAATGCTTTTCTAACTCAATTCTCTCTCACACTTGTATGCTTTAAGGAAGTGTAATTTTTTTAATCCGACCAAATTTTTTATCAGACAATTTATAATTTTCCTCCGGTCAACATATTTTATCTTAGTCATGTGATGACTAAGATAAAATTCTTCTGAGTATGCTTTTAAATAAAGGGACTATTGTTCCGTTTATTTTTGTTCTTTGTTTTCTTGTTTTCAAAATAATTTTATAAAATTGTTTTCTAGAACAAATTTAAAAAGTAAAAAGATTATTTTGATAATAACTTTTAAAAAAAATCCTATTTAAAAAAAATCACTTGGTAGATAGCAGTTATCACTAGTAGTGATAAGTGATGAATAATAAGTGAGAAGAAAAGAAGATTTCTCTAAGTTTTTAAAACAAAAAATAAAAAACCAGAAAAATAAAAACAAAAAAAAAAGAGTTTTTTTGGTTTTTTAGTTTTTAAAAAGAAAAAATTACAATAAGGTCCTACTTAAGAGAATTAAATACAAAAAGATCCCTTAAAATCATCAAATTATTCTAAAATATCAAGGGACCTCATTGTGTTAAATTTTTTGTTTAATTATGAAATTGTTCTTCTTTTTTTTTAAGTTTGCATTGACAACTGAGAGAGCAGTCGTTGACAACTCAAGGTGTAAGGATTAACAATTATCATGGCAGGTATTGACAACATATTTTTTTCAACACATCACAAAATGTAATGTATGAGTTGTCAATACCTGTTGGGATAGTTGTTAATCCTTACACCTTGAGTTGTCAACGACTACCTTTTCAGCTGTCAATACAAACTTTTTTTTAAAAAAAAAGAAAATTTGATAATTGAACAAATGAATTCACTTGCAATGAGATCCTTTGGGACTTCAGAATAATTTGATGATTTTAAGAGACCTTTTTGTATTTAATTCTCTTGGGTGGGACTTTGTTGTAATTTTGCCTTTTAAAACCAGATTACTGTATTTTTTAAAAACAAAAAAATTATTTGCAGAACAAGAAACCAAGCAAACTCTAATATTTTGAATAAAAAATAAACAAAATAAAATAAAAGTCATGAGAACAAACTATACTACCTTCGGTTATAAGAATTACTTAATTAATTTGAATACATTAGGAAAGTTTGTTAAGTTAGTCATTTGTAATAAATATGAGTTGAATTTTCTAAAGTATCCTTTTAATCATTTTTTTTTTTTGATAACAAAAGAAACCTCAACTAAGCCTATTGTCTACTTCCGTGGCAGCATCTTGTCTCATCTTGTCTAAAGTATCCTTTTAATCATTATTAATTTCAGATATAACTCTCTTAATATATGTAATCAGTAGAGATACTTTGGAGAATGAATTATAAATTTAAGGAACAAAGTAAATTGAGATATTATATTTGCAATCAAATTTAATTCTTAACTAGTTCTTATATTAAGAACTAAAAATAGTAAGAATAAAAACGAAAATACCAAAGCACATAGTGCTACATGATTTTTTTAAAAAAATTGCTTTTCTACTTTTGATAACAAGGGGCATTTTTTTTTTTTCTGCCAACGATAACAAGGGGCCTTGGACTTTTCAATGCACACATTGTCATCCACCAGGGGCAGCCGCCTGAAACCGCCTCTGGGTTGTCTATTATTTTATCTATCTTTCTATCTATTTACTTATTTTTATTAGAGATGGGACTATTATTCAAAACAAATGGAATCTTTTTTTTAATAGCGAAAACAACGGGTTTTAGCACAAGGGAATGATGAACGATCATTATTCAAGGGACTTCGGGAGCCTTGCACTTTATGTCATATATGTATATATTTAACATGGCAAAAGGATTAAATGATGCTGTTTTTAATTTCAATGGCTATGAGTAAAACCATAATGAGTAACAGTGAAATTTAGTGGAAGTATTTGGTTTGATCTTATATATGAAAATATGTTATACTTGTATATAGAGCTAGTAACATGTTAGCTAAGATTGGCGAAAAGTGAACCTACTAGCAAACGTTAGTTTTCAACTCGCATCGTTAGATCCACAACCCACAAGCTAAGCTACATTTATTTTTTTTCAATTTTATTAATTATTATTATTATATTATTATATTCTATATCCCATTTAAGAAATAAAAAATACTTATATAATTTATTTGATGTTTTCAATCAAGTATTCGAGGAAAAAAATTTCATTGCATTTTGTTAATATTGTATAAGGAAAAAATTTTGAAACCAAAAATTTTTTTAAAATAAAAAAGTAAATAAGGCCAACCTGTCAACCCATCATGATAGGTTAAGGTTAACTAAAAGCTAGCCTGCTATCACACGGGCATTTTTAACCTCCACAATCTAACCCTAATTTGCCATAGGGCAACTTGTAGTGTCACCACCCCTATTGTATACTCCCTTCGCTCCACGATACAAGCCACTTTTAGAAGAATGACTTGATCTAAAATATAAGTCAATTGTTGAGTAATCAATGCATATTTATCAATTTTGTTCCTACAATTAATGTTTAAATGTAACTCTTTATATATATTTCTTTCTCCTTCGCAACCTCTATTAACATGGGTAAAGTTGGAAAAAATTTTTCAATTTGGAACACATTTAACTAGTTAACTACCATTTTCTTGATATGGATGAATTAATTAAAGTGACTTATATTATGAATAGGAGGTACTGTTTTTTTTTTTTGTATAAGTTAAAGTATCTTCAAATTACTTTAGATTTGAGACTAATCTTTGACATGTTGAAAGCGTTAAAGTTAAAACCTTCCTAATAAGTGCATTTTTCAGGATTCGAATTTGTGTTTTTCTTTTTGCAGAGATGAGATTACTTACCATTTCAATCACCAACTTGATGGTACAAACTTAACAATGTTGGTACAACACATTAGGATTTCAATTTTTTTTTGGTTGCTGAAGCATAGATATCATCCTATTGAAGGTACTCCTATTTGAGACACTGTCAGGTACTAAATGTGGGCATATCTTTTAGTGGGGATTTCAAATTAATTACATAATTACACATCTACTTATGGCACTTTGAGGCCGAAACTATATATCAACATTTCACAAGCCTAGATGAAATAATCCAATCTCACAACTAAAGCACATCACTTCAGTTTAACAGAAAAGTACATAAATATGGCCTCAACCCAACAATACGTCAAATTGCTTTAACAAAACATTCAGCACCTTATTTTCATTTCATCAAGTCTTCTCAAAACAAGGGCTCAGCCCTCAATATAATTCAAGTCCACAGATCTTTTTGACGGAAATTACTGTATGGTCATAAAAGGAGAACTATAATCTCTATAAAATTTTATAACTACTGAATGACAAATTTCAGTATAATAACAAATTCTTAATTATGTACTTATTATTGTGATTTTTAGTTATTATATTTTTCACTTGGGACCTGATAACGATTTTCCACCTTTTTAAAAATTGATTAAAAATAATAAATATATCCAAAAATATTTTTTTTGGAAACACTTTTATTTGTGAGAAAAAAATGGGAGTGAGAGAATAAGTATGTTATAAATAAAGAAGAAATATAGGAGAGAATCGTACAGAGGAAGAAAAGATCAACAAGAAAGAGTTTTTCCTCATTCCATTCAAGAGAGTACTCAATACATTATACATGACTTCTATTTATAGGCACAGCTTTACATCTTTGATAGAATCTACACATTACATAATAATATGAGATAATTGTAGGATATAGAGATAATGAGAGATATATAGACATCCACAAAGATATTATTATATTCATAACACTCTCTCTTAGATGTCCAATATATATGAATGTGCCTCGTTAAAAAACTTCAACTAGGAAAAACCCTGTGGGACAAAAACTTGGCGAAAGAAAAATAGTACATTATTCATTGATACATTACGCAATACTGCCTCATTAAAAACCTTGCTAGGAAAACCCAGTGGGACAAAACCATAGACAAGAAAAAAAAAGAGCACAGCGTGTATCAACTTCCCTTTTTGGCAATATCAATTGACATCTTCGAACCTGCAAAGTCTAATATAACGAACAAGCCTTCCAAATATTGTAGTGAGATAAAAACGTCAAATATGAATTTCACAATCTTCTAAAAATCATCAGACGAATAGTCTTTTTATGATTTACTCACATATAGATCATACTATGATCTTTTGACATGAGAATCAAACAAGAATACTTTATCT